ACGGGGATACTTCTCACAATGAGAAGGACGACTCGTTTGAACCAGCCAGGGAGAAGTTCCTAGGTTGTTGGGTTAATGGCGCGTCCCCAGACGCTATCCGCCGTTTGTTGAGGCTCAGAATACCGTGCTATGTCGCAGGGAGGGTTCCCTCCACAAGCGTCGCCTCAATCAGACAACGGCACACGGTATACCAGTCAGCGTTGGAGAATACTCAAACAAAGAAGGATCTTTGGGAGAACATGTATCTCGTCGCAGCCAATTACGATGAGTTGTCGCCCCTGCCGTTCGAGGTCATCGGCTCAGACTACTTCGGCCCAGCTCCCAAGATGGACGCAGGGGAAAGTGCTAAGGCGTTATCAAATTTCCAGCCATACGTCCCGTCGTTTGCAGCACGGTACCCCGATCCCATTCCTCGAAAGCGTCAAGCAACGTCTCCCGCAGGTTTGTCTATTGGAAAGCGATTTGCGCTAGACCAGGACGACCAAGTATCGGAGGATGACGATATAGGATCCGACGCTAGCGACTACGGGGAAGGCTCTCCCGAAACACCCATGGACGCTCGCTTTCTCCCTACGGAAAGACAGAAGAGGACCTTATTCGAAGGAAGAACTTCTTGGGTGGTTCCCCCAGAGGTCCGAAGCATGCGTAAATTGGGGGGATCTGCGAAGCCCGACCGTTACCGAGCGCGTCGATACAAGGAGGGCCTGGCGATGTTCCGTGTCGGGAAGAAGTCTTCGACCAGTTTCTCCGGGATGGATATATACTTCGACCGGGAACTGGGTCGTTCTTTGATGATCCCGGACTACGCTATTCCCCCAGGAGTAGTAGAAGCAAAGACGTTCGGGATGCCGGTGCCTCCTATGTTTTTCTTCGAGTTGGATGGCCATCGGGGCTGGAAACCCACTAGACCTTCTTCATGGATGTACTTCACGGCCAAGCCAGACTCCAGAGACGTAGGCTTGAGACCCAGGACTCCAAGGAAAGAGGAGTTATCGCCGTTAGACGGGTTCCCGTCGTCAGCCCGCGAACAAACGGGCCCCATGCGGGCCCCGGAAGGAAAGGGCAAGGGCAAAGAGCGATACCCTTCATCTCACACGGAGGCGTTCCGCCAGGTCGGGGAGTGTCTTTACCCCCGTAGCGCTGCCGCATCACGATGCTGTCGAAGTGGACAGATTGGACGACTTCCCTTCAGCAAGAGCGGCGTGGACGTCGCCAACGACCAGGGAACTGAGGGGAAAAGGAATCATGCCCCGGGAAGTGGCGTTGCTACCCTGGAGAATCTCCTTCCACTTCTATACAGACGCGGATGCTGCCCGTGCAGTCCCGGAGTTGAGGGCTAAATGGCCAGACGCCGCAGTTTCTCTGGTGGACGATGCGGCTTGGCTGCTCGCGAGGTCTAGAGCTACGCAGACGTGGGACCAATTAAGAGAGTTGGCCGCCGTACGCCACGAGATAGAACTGGCAATGCCCCAAGACTCAGTCACGACTCGAGGTACCGGTTCCTCTGTGCCGCCGTCTGTGCCACAACCTAGCACCTCCACCGCGGCTGTCGAAGGGCAAGAACGTGGACCGTCGTTCGAGCCCACGTCAAACCCGTTCCCGGCTTCGGCCACAACCCCGGTTCCAACCGCCCCGGCCCCGGCCCCGGCCCCGGCCCCGGCCACGGCACAGGCCACGGCTACGGCTACGGCTGCGGCTACGGCCGTGGCTACGGTTGCGGCCCCAACTACGGCCCTAGCTCCGGATGACAGTTCGCTAGTGGGCCGTATAAGCTCCGTGGCCTACGCAGACGAGCCAGTTCTGCTCCAAAGGATGATAGGAGCGACTCGAGGCGAGCCCCCCGCGTTGCTGAGACGCATGCAGTGGGGTCCCCCGCTGTTGGAGAGAGCTCCTCTGCCCTTGTTGACTAGAATGGGGCAGGACGCAGGCCAAGTCACAAGCCGCAGGGAAACCAGGCGCTTGGCACGACAGGAGCGGCTCAGATTGGAGAAGCTGGAACGGCGTAGGAAGCGGGATGTACAGCACAAGCTGGACAAGGACGTCATCATGCGGGAGTGGAGAGCTCGCGAGCAAGCCGCGCTAGAGGCGGATCGAGCTGGGGACGACGAAGATAGCATGTCGTTGGGCTCGGTGATGTCAGACTAGATGCAATCTCGTGCGTTGGGGGGCTCTGTGACGATACGGTAATCTGGACTATGCATATATTAAGTAGAACGTACGATACTGCAGCTAGTATATCCGCGTGTGGGCTTTACTCCCACGTGCGGGTCACGTGAATAAATCAATTCTTGCTTCTCGTCCCATCTCGTCGTTCACCGCGGCTCGCTCCGCTCGCCTGTATGTCTACTACTGTATTCCCCTACGTCGGTTCAGCGTGACCCGACTTCTTGTACACTATACACTCTCTACGGCTAACGCGGGTTTCCGCACAGAGCTGTTTCCGTTACTCTTTTCCTTTCGACTTCTTTGGAGCAGAGCTCCCCCGAATTCGCGTTGCATCACACCTACACTCCGCCTATCCGTCGAGGCGACGGATCTTGAGGAGGGGTTGGTGTAAGGGGAGCATGTGATGTGACAGCTGTGACTGATCACGTGACTGGTCCGTGCGCAGATAGCCCTGTACTTAAGTAGTTGGCCGTGGGGCTGTTCCCCCGGCTTTGGTATCAACTAGGCACCTGGACCCTCATCCCCTGACAGACCAGGGCTTCCAGTTGACCACAAGAAGACAAGAGAGAAGAGCAAAGTCAAGACGACACTAGGAATAGAGACCAGCAACGTTAATTTACAAACTGAAGTACGTAGCAATACATCAAAGTATGAGAAGTAATGGAAATGGAATAAGGGAATAACAAAGTAAGTAACGAGATTCGAACAAGGACCAGTAAAGTCGTCAGGGAGTTGCATATGAGGAATAAGGCATAGATGATTGCATAGATTATAAGTCGGCATAATTGGAAATGCTCAGTAATTCATCATTACGTAAAAACCAAATACCGGAATCGGATTTCAGAATCAAACTGTCAGACTGCGGGTCGGGCCGTGTAAGGACCTCTCCTAAGAACGCGCGCCCGGAACAGAACAGACGGATAGTCAGGCCCGCAGGTACGGCGGGCAGGGTAGATCGAAACCGAAAGGGCCCGTGAACTCGGTCCCTTGCCGTGGTCGGTGGTCGAAGGTTCGAATCGGGTCGTGTCGGCCCGATGAGTCGATAACGTCTCCTTGCACGGAGTAAGGTAGTTCTTTAGACGATCTAAGCGATAGAGTACAGGGTACACTATCGCACCTTATATACGCGGGCCCGCAAAGGGGGTGATCGGACACCCTGGCCTCTCCTCCTCCTCCTCGTTCTCGTTCCTGGCCGCAGAGGGGACAATCGTACATCCCTTGCGGGCCAGGCGCTACTCCTAACCTCCTAGCACTCCTCCCCAGTCCCCTTGTGTCGAGTTGGGCTCGGCGATGGCTCGACGCGTCGTTCTCGGTCACGTGCTTCCCACGTGTGCGTTCCTCCTACTGGGGCGCATGTTCCCCATCATCACGTGCTGCGTGCTACGGGGTAACGGGCCTGCGATGGCCCGACACCAGCGCCCGGAGCGGACGGGCCGGGTCTTATCCGTGACACAAACACTGAAGTTGGCACAGATATAATACTTAATTATATTGTGATTTATTATTATATCAACTATTATTATATTATGCCTGGGAGGCCAGAAGGAATATTATATTATTTCATATTATATTACAATATTACAATATTACAATATTACAATATTATTATTATGACTCTAGCATAATATAACTTATATGTCAGCCTCAGACCCATGAACCTTGTATAAAGCCAGCTTATATCCTAACAATGCTCAGTAAATCTTCATTGTGTAAAAACCAAATACAGAATGATTGCCAGAGTCGGCACGGATATAACAACCTAATATGAAGTATGCCAAAAATGAGTTAAGATTAGGTTTGAACATAGAGGTAATAAGATGTAAACTAATGTAATCTGGTGTAAAAAAGTTTATGATAGTCAGTGATGCACTTAGGTCCCCTAAATTGACCTTCCAGATGATTTAGGGCCTATTAGGTGCCAAGGGCCTAATTTAGGTCCATTGTCATAGGCCCTAGTGACCAAGAAAAGAGACATATATTTAAGTAGTTATTGATCATGATTATATTCTCTGTGGAATGGGATATCAGCCATCTGATATTCCTTGTGTATTCAATCTTCAATTTGCTTTCTGATCTCTGGGTACATTAGCTGGAAAGATAACATATATACTTCTGCAAAAGTTTAGCAAGCTTCAGCTGGACCAATTTTGGACCCCTCAGCAAAGGAGAGAAGAAAACCTGTATTATGAGCAACATAAGTCATTGAACCTGATGCTAGTAGTCAAATAGATAAGATAAGATAGATTTTAGGTCCTAAATAGGCCCTATGAAAGATTGGAGTCGAGCTTAGGCCCTGATTTTAGGGCCTCTTAGGGCACTAAATGGCTAGGGCCTAAAAGCCTAAGGACATCACTGATGATAGTTGGGGGGGTCAGGTAAAAAAGGTAATAGATGTTCTAAGATGTAATAGCGGTAAAATGGGCTAACATATTTTAAAGTAGTATACATTACCCACAATGAGCCCAAATTACTGGGGGAGGGCCCTGGGAGGAGGTTTTTCCTGATGCACACGGGTCAGAGCCGCTGCATCAGCGAAGCTGTGCCCGGCACTGTGGGGGCGTGCTTCTTGCTCCCACCATCGCCCGTTGTGGCAGCGGGACTGCGTCGCGTTGGGCGATGCACGGGCCCGCATCATGATCGCGATGATCAACGCCGCTGATACAGTCCCTGCGCGGATGAACAGATGCTGATGTGCGTTGCCAGCCTGCGCGCAATGTAAAGCTGCGGGCTCTGGCTGGGAGAGTGCTAGTGCTCCCGCGGATCCCCTTCCCTGCTTTGCAGCCCTGCTGCTATTCAGCCCGCGGCTGAGGACGAATTTTCTGACCACAATCCCGATGCCGTACGCATACCCGCCGCGCAGCCCGCCGCTCTCCGTCGCGACGGCGCCGCACCCCGGCCCCGAGGCGCTGGCGCTGGACTTCGCGGGCGTCGCGCTGTGCCCGAGCCCCGCGACCGCGCTCTCGTGCTCGTACCAGAGCTCACACGTGCTGCCCGCGTCCCCGCGCGACTCGCCCCTCGACAGCGGGCCGGCGTTCCTGAGCTCGCCGCTGGAGATAGCCTGCCACGGGCTCGACTACGACGACGAGGACGACCGCGCGCCGCTTCTCGGACCGGGAGCGGGACCGGCCGAGGACGGGCTGCCACCCAGCAGCAGCCCCGGGACGCGTGCACGCCGGCTGTTCCCGCACGCGACGCGGAGCGTCTTCCTCGGGACGTCCCGCGCGGCGAGTATCCGCGCGGCCCTCGCGTTCCGCCCGCGGCGCCGCGCGTGCACCGTCGACGACGCCCTCCCCCTCCGCGCCGTGCAGCACAGCCCTGGCCCCGCCCCCGACGGCATTAGCAAGACTCACGTGCACGCCCACTCGGACGGCGGCATGCGCGCAGAGTCCCCGCACACGTGGCGCGCGTTTGGTCTGCGGCGCCACGCGACCCTGCCCGTCTTCGTCTTCGGCGCCGTCCCGGAGGAGGCGGTGGCGCCCGGGCCGGGGCCGGCGGGCGGCTTCCGCGGGACGGACCAGCGTCCTCGCAAGGCGCGCACAAGCAATTCATCCTGGGGCGACCAGTTCCGGCTGCGCGAGAGCATCTCGCCCGCGGCGTTCGGCGCGGCGACCGGCGCAGAGGAGCTCGCCGAGTTGGACGAGCCGGTGCGCGAGGCGCTGTACGTCAACGCGGCGCTCAGAGCGCGCGGGCTGGCCTACGAGCCCGTGGTGCCGCCTGCGAGTGCCCGGACCGACGACTCGGAGCACGTGAGCGCCAACCTGGGCGTCCGGCGCAAGTACCCAGTCCGCGTGTCGTCGCTGGGGCAGCTCGTCAACCACGACATCGCGGCGCTGCACGTGGCGCTGGAGGAGGTGCTCACCGAGACGAGCCAAATCACGTCGACGCCGTCGCTGCAGGCGAGTGCGCCGAGACCGCAAAGCCAGAGCCGCGCGCTGCCGACGCCGCCGTTGAAGCTTGTGACAGGGTCCAAGTCGCGGCAGAATGTGACGCCGCTGCGCGCGGCGCGCTCCGTGCCGAACTTCCGGTCCGTCTAGATCTAGCGTAAGGATCGCGGCGTTGGCAAGCTGATGTGGCGGAAGGGCAACTGGAGTGAGCTGTCGAAACTGTGTATTTATAATTGGCTATCTGCATTTGTAGTGTTTTGGGTGTTCGAGTTGTATCATGTTTACACTGTGTTTTCGCGATTGAAGGCGTCACGGTGGATGCCACTGGCTAGCCCGGGGAAAAGTGGGGCTGTGCTTCTCATCTTGCCTCCGCCCACCATGATCGGCGTTGGCAACGATCCCCTGGCCCATATTTCAGAGGACCTGGAACGCGAGATCTTCGAAGTTACGGCGATTACGGAGCCCGCGATGATGCTCCCGCCTCCCGCTCATGCCTGTCGCACGGCGCGTCCATACTTAGATGGTAGGTGCCATGTTGATCGCATATCCCAACCGGCCGCCGTCCTGGCCGCTCGCGGCCGCCGACCGTGACGTCCTGGCCATGGAGCACATCGTCGCCCGCTGCCCCGGCCTGCGCGAGGTGCCCGGCGGCTTCTATCTCACCGACAGCGTCATTGCTGCAGCGCAGTTCGCGGGCTGGGGCGCCGTGCCAGTGATAGAAGGATTCGCACCGCTAACGGTAGATGTCTTCGGTAGGTTGTTTCACACCCCCTAAGCTGATCATGAGGGGCTCTACGTGCGGCGGCGGCAAGCACTAGTCGCGGCGACTCGAACAAGGTTCAAGGCGGGAAGACTTCCAGTTGGACTAGCCAGCGCGAACGTCTGGACCGTCCCACTGGAGACAAAGAAGCACCCCGGGCCCAGGGGCCTGGGCCCCGGCAACTTGAGCTCACCGGACTCCGAAGGGAAGGCGGTCGGACTTCGGGCGGGATCTGAGCAATGAGGCGCTCTGCTGATCTGACATTGCTCTGCGCCAGCAAAGAACAGTCTGGCGCACATCCCACGCTATGTCTTCTATGGAAGGCGGGTAGAACATAGAGCGGAAGCAGTCCCACGCTAATTCTTCCGGAGCATGCAGGACTCGCAAGGCAGCTTATCTTGCTCCTGACCACCACTGCATACCTGCAATGTATCAAGAGCCCACAATCCGAATAAACAATCTCTACGGTATCTACTGGCACCTTCCATTACATCTTACTCAAGTGCAGTCAGGTGGTCATGGAGGAGCTGGTGGTCCTAGCCAGACAGGTGCTGCTGGTCGAGGTGGAGATGGACAGGGAGCTCACCTGGACTTTTCTCACAGCCAAATCACTACGTGGGTGGTCAGCAGCAATATGGCTATGGCTAAAATAGGTATCCTATGCAGGATGATCAACAACCATCATGTTTTACCCCAAGGTCAGTTTTTTTTAAATCATTATCCTATTTGTATAAAATGTAACTTGGCCATTACATAGACCATGAGCAGTTTCAATATTGGGTTTCACCAGTGAATCCATTCAAGGACCAAGAGAGAATCTCTGCACAATCTCAAGGAAATGCTGGCCAATGGCTATTCAAGGATCCAAAATTTAAAAGATGGGTATCGGGAAGTGCCAAATTATTGTGGTGCCGGGGAATATGTGAGAACTTATGTATTTAATGTTATTGGCTTGCTGCTAATTTCTAAAACAAAAAAATATAGCTGGTGCAGGCAAAACTGTACTTGTGTGAGTTTCATTTCATACAGTATATCCAACACAGTTCTCACAGGATTGACAGCTCCAAAGTCATTGAACATCTTAGCCAATGGGCTGCCAGTGAAGATAATGAAATTGGTGTCACCTGGACATATATTAACTACAAGGACCCTGCCACTCAGACAGTCCGAAATATATTAGGTGCATTGTGGAAACCCCTAGCTCTTAGTGATGAAGCCCTGATACCTGCGCAATTGCGGTACTCTCAGCATAGAAACAAGGGCACTTCAGGCACAGAACAAGAATGGATCAAGATTCTAGAAGACTTAATACAAGCTTCTCCATATAAAACTGTGTATATTATTCTTGATGCCCTGGATGAGTACTTGGATAAACCATATGCTCTGTTGCATCAAATGCTTGGGCTAGGAAGAAAGGTCAAGCTCATGATCACCTGCCGACCTGATATTGCTCAACCTCAGGGTACATACATGCATATCCTTGACATACAAGCCCATGATGAGGATATTGAAGCTTATGTGAAAAGAGAAATTAGATATAGCCAGTCTTTCCAGTCATTCTTACGACAGGATCACACTTTGACTACTGCAATGATTGCCCAATTAAAACTCAAAGCAAACAAAATGTTGGTAATAAAGAATATTCCAGGATCCTCTTTCACTCAAATTGATTAGGTTTTTGATTGTGAAACTACATCTCAAGTCCCTCTTACAGTCTCCAACATTAGAGGAATTTCGAAGACGCTTATGCAGTCTACCTTCAAATGTAGATGAAAACTATCATGCTACATTACAACGCATATATGTAAATGATCAGATAGATACTGCCCAAGCACTGGAAATACTTGGATGGGTAACATTTGCCAAAAGGCAACTAACACTAGAAGAATTGCAAATAGCTCTTGCAATTAATAGGTGTGAGAATGCTATGCCTGGCCCCATGTCATACATCTCAGCAGAAACAATTTTAGAGTCTTGCTGTGGCTTGATAGTTCTTGATCATGATAGCTCAATAGTACATCTTGCTCACTACACTGTACAAGAATTTTTGGAAAGACAACAACAATTGTTCCCCAGGATGCATGTGAAGATCACTTCTGCTCTACTAAAATATCTGGAATGGTTATATGTGGCAGATGACACTGATCCTGATGAGAAACATATACCATATGATGACACAACCTGTCAGAAATATGTGCTGTTTAACTACAGTCAGTATGTCATAGAGCATATGCATGGTGAAGCAGAGAAGGTCTTCCAGACAAGAGTACAAAGCTTTTTAGAAAGCATAGAGGAGGTACCAGAAAGCTGGCAATCAAATGTATGGTACTCATTTGATGGTGATACAGTGGACCCTTTCAAGATAGCAAGTGCAGCTAATCTGGTTTATACAATGGAAATACTTCTTGCATTTGTCTCAGCAGATAATTGTGATCGAGAGCGACTGGATAATGCACTGCATTATGCATCTTTACATGATCATATAGAGATTATAAAAGCTCTCCTGAAAGCAGGTGCAGATATCAACTGTATACATTATGAGGGAACTTCTCTGTATATAGCTGCATCAAATGGTAAAGATGACATTGTGAAATGGCTATTAAATGCTGGTGCCAATGTGCATTTGCTTACTAGAGATCATCAAAGTCCACTTCATGGAGCTGTAGAACTTGAAGATTCCTCAGCAACTACAGATATTGTCCACATGCTCCTAAAGGCTGGGGCACATTGCAATGTTATTGATTGCGATGGTTGTACACCTATACTCTTAGCTGCAAGAACAAGATGTATAGAACCTATGAAGCTATTGCTAGCCTCTAATGCAAACCCTAACATTAGGAATCATAAGGGTAGGACTCCCCTGCATGAAGCTGCAATTGTAGAATCATTTGAAGCAATCAAAATTCTACTAGATGCTGGTGTAGACTGCAATGCTCTTGACCAAGACGGAAAGACTCCTCTATTCTGGGCTGTGTTCAAAGGCAATATAAGGGCTGTCAAGATACTTCTGGAATCTGGTGCACAACCAAATCTTGGAAATCACCAAAACCAAAGTTGCTTCCATGTAGCTATATGGCAGAGAAACACAGAGCTTATACAGATGCTATATGATGCTGGTGCATATTGTGATGCAACAAATAAAGAGCAGGATGCCCCACTCCAGATTGCAGTGTCTACAAATCAGCCACAGGTGGTAGAAATGTTACTGAAGGCTGGTGCTCACCATGATATTGCAAATATAGATGGTACTAGTCCTCTTCATGAGGCATGCAGGAAAGGTTATCCAGACATTGTGCAATTGCTCTTACAGGCAAATGCAGACTGTAATATCCGGGACAATATGGGTAGAACTCCACTTTATATTGCTGCAGAGGCAGAGCATTTTGCAATTTATCATATGCTGAAGAGTTCTGGAGCAAATCATCATATTAGGGATAAGAGGGGCCAGCCTCCCTTCCCTAAAAGTTTACAAAACCTTTTTCATCTACTTTCAGAGAATTAGTATGAGGGAGAGAGAAAGAAGGAGAAAGCTTTTGTATATAACTCATATGGATTTTATTGGACATTCTTGTAGTATAAATGTTATTTACAGAAAAATATATCCAAAACTGTCCAAGTGATTTTCTTTGTCTCCTTATTACATTGGTAAGCAAATACAGATGAGGCTGACCTAGCAGGGGAGGATTCAAAGAGAAGAAACTCTAAGAGTCTGCCTGCTAGGGAGCTGACTATATACTGCTTGTCCGTAGCTGCTGCTGTCGGGCAAAGAAGGCTTGGACGGTGTTGCAGGCCAGGTCCCAGGACAACCATTGGGAGGTGTTGACAGATCGGCGATTATGCAGGTGAGATGGAGGGCCGGATCGGAATCAAGACTGGAGTTGGACCGGAATTGGAGTTGTCTTGAAGGGGCCAAAAGGGAGGTTCCCCTGACAGCTTCCCACCTCAATTAACCTGATAGCACTTACCATGCATACACAACGTGAGGATGAGTGGGGGACCTCTGTGTGTCCTTACCCCACCTCCACACTCTCAAGCTCCACTATAACTTTGCCAATGGGGGAACCTTTGGCAGCTGGACGGAAGGGCTGACGTTCCCGGCCCTTGCACATCTCCGTGTGTATGGCCTCAACAATGATGTTGACGACGCCCTCTCCAGGCTTCTCTGCCTGTCAGGGGATGAGGGTCCAGGTGCCTAGTTGATACCAAAGCTGGGGGAAAAGCCCCATGGCCAACTACTTAAGTACAGGGCTATCTGTGCTGTCAAGTGGAAAAATTGTTTTCCTACGTAGATATCCGGAAGCGACTTTGTTCGGGAAAATCCATGTATGTTCGTGGGATCCTGGTGACAAGGTTTCTCCTGAAAAGGAAGTAGGAAGGGGGTGTGGGGGAA